CTAGCACCATCAAATAATATCTAATTAATAATTGGATCTCGACTCATAATCCAAAATCTAAATTACTTGTCCAACATACAGGGTAAAAGACCATTTTACCCTTCTCTTACTTGGCCTAAAACAAAGGCCCAACCCGTTTGCTGAAAAAGCTCAAATTCCTAAATGGAATCCTAAGGCCCAATATGGCCCAAATTCCTAATTCGGCCCAAAACCCATCATGGGTCTAATTCCAAGAGGGCCCAAAACGTAAGCAACATCCAAAGATCCAAATGGGCCCAAGCACAATAAGCCCCAAAGTCAGAAAACTAGTGGCCCATTAAGGCCTAAAAGTCGAAAACAACATCTCACGTCGTGATCAGTCCTTGGTCACATCGTGAGACGTGTCCGCTCTAATTTCGGGGATCACGTCTGACTCAAACGACTCAGCGGGAACGGTGACTCATGCTCATGTCTTGAGACCTTATGTCACACGTAGCGAGGATGGTCTGAAGCAAAACTAACATTCCAATGATCTTAATCAGTTCAATCCTCAATTTCGACTTCTACAGAGGCTTAAGGGGACCCTAATGGCCCATAAAAATGTTTGCTTTATGGACATGCATGTACATTCACCATTTTAGGTCAAAAAGTGCAAATATGGCCTCAAGTTCCAATGCAAGCTCTATTACTCCATCAAATCCCATATCTGAATGATATAAGACTCAAAAGACCATTTGAATCCATAAAGTTGCTCACTTTATGGATCTACTCCACTCAAATCAAGCTAAAACATATGAAGATGGGCCAAAAACCTAGATCTAGCCATGAAATGCAATAAAGCTTGAGTCTTGACACTTAAAATGGTCCAAACAAGATAATAGCTGATGAAGATGGTGATCCCAAGCAACTTCCTTCACAATGAAGCTTCTTCTTCTCTTATTTTCCTTCCTTTCCACAAGCAAAACACCAAATATCTCAAGGGAATCGAAATCTAGGGTTTACAGAGGTTTAGAGAGTGAGAGAGGCTGAGGATGGGTAACCCTACCCTCTCATTCCCTTAAATACCCGTAAAGTAGGGTTTGGGGTCATCAAACTGCGCTCACGTCGTGAGACCTTATGTCTCACGTCGTGAGATTCCAAAATGCAGATCAACGGGTCAACAGACACTCACGACGTGACTACCAAGATCTCACATCGTGAGGACCCCCGAAAATACGATAAATGAATGAATTTAGTACCTTAGGGTTCCGGATGTTACAAATCTGATACCAACTTGTAACGTCCTGATTTTCAACCAAAATTTTTCATTTTCATTTATTTAAATATTTAATTACATCAAAGTATAATGCAAAAACATGATTGCGTATACACGTGTGTACAGTCGAACCTTGCCCTTCTCACGAAGTACCTGAAAAACATTTATAACAACTAGGTAAGCGTTAGGCTTAGTGAGTTCCCTAAAATACCATATATCACAATACATATACATGCATAGACCGAGTATCTAGGCTCATAAATCGCTTAAGTTACTATTGGGATTTTCTAGGCTCACAATCACTTAAGTTGCTATTGCCCTTTTCTAGGCTCACATTCTCTTAAGTTTTTATTGCCATCAACTCAACCCTTTGCCTTCAACATAAAGATGGTCCGCTACCTCAACTCTCCACATAACATATCAACACATATATAGCAAACAAATAAACAGTCCACAAACAGGCAACTAACTAAACTAATCTAATTACCTAATACTCTAATATCATACTGCAACCACCTCCAACTAACTTAAGCGTAATAACATTAGGCCCAAAGATACTATACTACCAACCTATCATGCTGGTTCTTATATCCTAACATACATGAATATATATTGTAGTACACAGTAGAGTGATGTAACTCACCTGGACAATTACTCGAAATATTTACATCTATCTGGGCGATCCTACTGGCGATTCAATTGGCAAATAACCCGTCGAACAAGTATTAACGTATAATACTTTAACCTATTAATTTCTACGAGGATTGGGTAATGAAAACTAGATCTTTCACTAATCCCAATGAACACAGAGAGTTATATCAAATAAGGATCAGCCAGGCTAGACAGTCGGGAGGCATGATCATTTTAGCGTATAGCCTTTCTGAAATCCAACAACCAAGCCAACAAGACCATTCTAGACACTTCCCCCGTAAGTAGATCAATCAACATTATAACTGGAATTACTGATAAATCTTTTACATATATATATATATATATATATATATATATATATATATATATATATAACAACGACTATGAATATAAACATAAGTTACATTAAAAACGTAGCTTAACTTATAGGGATCCCAGTGAAAATCGGGAAAGATCACAGGCAGGGCTTTGATACTGAGCACTATTATTTAGCCGATCCACTGCCTCAGAGCTTCGCTAAAGCACTCCAAAAACCCAGAATGTTGGACTCGAGGGGTGGGTGGTCTCCAGAGAGTTTGGAGTGAAGAGAGTGTGAGGAAAGGGTAAGAAATAAAATGTAACATCCGGATTTCCAGGTATTTTATAAAGTGCATTTATCTTGAGTTTTATGGAGGGACTCGACGAGTAGACGTTCAGACTCGCCGAGTAGGACCGCGAGTTCTTGTCTGGATTAATGACCGGACTCGACGAGTAGGTGCGTGGACTCGGCGAGTCCACGCTGTAAAGTGAAACCCTAAATCTCAGGGCCTGAGCCCTATTTAAAGGCCCTTATGGCCGTCATTTGCGGCCACTACTCCCCTGTGAAAACCCTAGAGAGCAAAGAGAGCTTAGAGAGCATTTTGGAGGCTAAATCTTCATCTTTTGGTGTGATCTTGCAAGAAGGAGTGGAGAAATTCAAGCTAGCTCGATTGTGGAGCTTGGATCTGTATTGTTCACACCAAGATTCACGTTTTGAGGTACAAGTTCCTTCCCATTTTGTGTATTTGATAGATTCCTTGAATCTAGGGTTTCCTTTGCACAATTTTGAGTTAGATTGTGAAGTATATGAGGTCCCTTTGGGTAGAGATAATAGATCTGGACCTTGAGAGGTCCAAAAGGTCCCAAGCTTCCAGCTTTATGAGGTTTCATGTGAGCCTTGAGAGTAGAACCCCATTTTGGAGGATATTTCTCCGTTTTTGGTCTTATAAGCATTGCATGAACGTAAAGTTTGAACCTTTACGTGACTTTCGAGTGTTAGAAGGTTGGATCTACTGGTTGGTGAAGCAGATCTGACCTCAAAGGATCTTTTGAGTGTTTTCATGGGAGGAACTCGCTGAGCTCATAAGGGACTCGACGAGTCGAGTCGGGTTGCCCCGCAACTTGCGACCTATGTCGACCCGTTGAGTGTTGGGTTGACTCAGCGAGTCAGTGAGGACCAGAGGCGAAGAGGACATGCAGGTACTCGCTGAGTCACTCTTGTGCACTCGACGAGTCGGTCAAAGTTTGACCGTTGACTTTCGTTGACCTTAGGGTTCTGGTCAAGACTGATTCAAGAGAGTTCAGGGAGGGGTAGAATGGCCTTTTACCCAATCTGTAGAGATGAGACTATGAGAGAATATTGATCGGGGATGTTATTTGAATAATATGAGGAGGCTAGGTCGGGATGTTGAGCACGAGAGTTTATCCGACTTCATTGAGGTGAGTCTTCTCACTATAATGTACCTGGAAGGGTACCTATGTGTGACCGGAAGGTCTTGTATGCTATGAGGTGTATGTACTGTATGCTAATATGTGATATGTATGTGTTATGTATGTCATGAAGTGGACCGGAAGGTCAGGAGTATATGGACCGGAAGGTCAGGGTGATGTGGACCGGAAGGTCAGGGTGATATGGACCGGAAGGTCAGGGTGACATGGGCCGGAAGGTCATTACAGGTAGGATCGGAAGGTCTACCAGGGTTATGGGACGGAAGTCCCCTGGGACACAGAGACCGGAAGGTCTTATAGCCTTGAGTGGCGTATGTGCGTACGTGGTATTTTGGGGAACTCACTAAGCATTTATGCTTACAGTTGTTATGTTATGTGTTTCAGGTACTAGCGAGGATCGCGGGAAGGCGTCGGCATGATCCGTACACACTTATGGAGTTTATGTTATTGAGATTATGGGACATGTTTTGTTATGAAACAGTGAATACATTATGTTTTATGATTATCGTGTGATTGAAAGTATGATTTAAAAATGAAAAAATTGTTTTGAAAATTTACGTTGTTACATGAAAGAAACCAAAGACATCTATTTGTAGTAAGTTTACACATCGTGCACTATAGGTGCGCGTCACTCAATAGGGTAACATCGATCCATCCGTTGCCTGCCACGTGTCAAATTTCTTGTGGTTCACATTGCACGTTCTAGAAGCTGCGCGTCGCGCGCTTTGTGCAAAACGTGGATTTTGTAAATTTAACATCTTCTTCATACGAGCTCCATTTTTTACATTCTTTATATCCACGCGTAGCTATTGACGAGATCTACAACTTCCATTTAGACTTTGTTGGCTAATTTTGACTTTATTTTTAAGGCTATATGTTTAACAGGCTTAGACTGTTAAAGCATGTATAAAAATCATAACTCTCTCACGTGAATTCTGTTCTCGACTGTCTTTATATCGATAGAATCATATGGACGAGATCTTCAACTCTCGCTTAGATTGTAATTCCTAACAATCGACCAATCTCTATTTCGGTTTCTGTGTCATATACTGATGCGTTTAAACTTCTCAAAATCATAACTTCCTCTTATGAGGTCAGATTCACACGTTCTCTCTTCACATGCTCTCAATTTTGTAATGACTTTCGTCAAGACTATTTACCCTAAATAGTCTTCTATCAAAGACGTCTATTTACGTCACTGATCGTTTATATTATAAGGCGAAAATGGGGTATTAAAGATAACATTATGTGTAAACAAATTGACTTTAGATGAAGAGAAACCCATACAAGCTTATACTAGTTGTGCCATTTGAACCAAAAACTAGAATTCACCATTCATTTCCATGAAGATTAAAAGTTTAAAAAAAATGCTTTCTTTTGTATGATTCATAAAAAAAATACTAGAGTCATATACAAAAACAATATGCTCATCAACATAAAACAATCATCTCAAAGATTGAAAAGAATCAGGATACCATCGAGACAATATGTGATATTTAAGTTTAACAACAAGCAAAAAGATGGTGTAGCATGGAAGATGCAATAATGCAACGATCAAATACCTGCATAATGTTTATGAGATGTTTTACAACATTAGATTGAACTAAAAAATTATACAATATTTAGCATTGTACTTTGAAGTTGATATATTAGGTAATTATTATCTGAAATAGCAGTGAAAGTTGTTGTGTATTTGCATCACATTGCTATAATTGGGTAGATTTTTCAAAATACAATGTTGTAATAGGAGAAATGTAAGTCGAATGTTGTGTAAACAAAATCAACAATTATATTTAATATGTTAGTTATTTATGCCTTATAAAGGGTTAAATAACAACACAATTTCCTTGATTTTGTTATAATAGAATCCTACTTTCATTTCTTTCAATTTCATAATTTTACTTTCGATTTTTTTCTTATTAGGATATTATACTTTGAAAAAACTACCCAGTTATAATAATGAAAATTGCTTTGTATTTGCATCGCGTTGTTATAATTGGGTAGGTTTTTCAAAGTACAATGTTGTACTAGGAAGAAATGAAAGTATGATGTTGTAATAAACAAATCAATGAAAGTACATTGCTACTTCTTGCATTTAATGATAATTTCCACAACCATATTTGATATATTTGTCATTTATGAAGGGTTTAATGCAAGAAATAGCAACATACTTTCATTGATTTATTTATTACAACATTTTACTTTCATTTATTTCTATTAAAACATTTTGCTTCAAAAAAACTCATCTCAATTGTAGCAATGCCATCCAAATACAAAACGATTTTCATTGTTATAATTGAGTAGACTTTTAGGGTATAATACCTTAATAACAAAATAAAAAATTGAAAGTACAATGCTACATTATATGTTTGAGAATACATACCACAATGGAGCATATTCCATTGATAAGTCGAGAAATGGGTATGACCACCTGAAAAGAAAGAAATTACAACTAAATTAAATCACTAAAGATCCGAGTTTGAAATATAAATAAAAGTTAAGGTGAAAAAAAATACCAAGTTGCAACAAAGGCATGAAGAATCCACTCAAAAAGCACGTAGAAACTAGTCAATAATAGAAAGTATGAAATTCGGAACCAAGGGAAGTCCTAAAAAATGTTTTTTTTAACATGTTAATAGTTTATAAAAGAAAAATTATTATTAAAAACCAAAGTAAACAAAAAAAATACATAAGAAGTTATAGAAGAAACGTTACCAAGCTATTCAAGGTTGTGTCCGCAAGGAGCAAAACAAGATTAAGTGAATGTGCAACAACCGTCAACTGTTATAAGTAAGAAGAAACTTTTTAGGGAAAATACCGATAATAGTAAAAAAATAAGGGATATTTTCAAATTTTAGACATGAAAGTGGACATTTTTGGGTATAGACATGCATTCCACGGAGGTAGCTCCGCGGAATCTAGTGTAGCTCCGCGGAATGGCAAAATCGTAAATAAATTAGCGTATTAAAAAAACTCAAGATCCATTCTGCGGAGCTACAGTGGATTCCGCGGATAGCTCCGAGGAATGGATCTTCAGTTTTAAAAAAAAAAAAAAAAATCTCCAATTATTCTTTTATGTAATGATCTCTAATTAAAAGACCAATTTTTTTTCCATCTCACATTCATTCCAAACATTGTTAAGAAAAATTCATACTATCATAATCTTTTCTTGAAAATAATTAGTTTGGGAAATGAATATAAATCCCAAAGAATGGATTGGAAAAAAAAAAAAAAAAAAAAAAAAAAAAAAAAAAAAAAAACTGAAGATCCATTCCTCGGAGCTACCTTCGCGGAATCCACTGTAGCTCCGCGGAATAGATCTTGAGTTTTTTTTTTAATACACTAAATTATTTACGATTTTTGCCATTCCGCGGAGCTACAGTAGATTCCGCGGAGCTACCTCTGCGGAATGCATGTCTATACCCGGAAATGTCAATTTTCATGTCTAAATTTTGAAAATACCCCTCATTTTTTAACTATTGCCAGTATTTTCCCAATTTTTTAAATGTACGGGGCATAATATTAAAGTACCACATCACTAAATAGCGACCAAGTGTCAGAAATGTTACACCTAAGTACCTTAAACTTTTTTTTCAAGAGGTTTAACAATTAACACCTTAGCTTTTAGTTTTGTTACATTGTTGTGAAATTTTGTATTTTTTGCTCCATTGTTATGAAACTTTATAAGTTTCAATTTTGTTCGTTGTTCTGAAAATGTTGTAACATTGATGGGACAATGTCATTAAGGAGTAAATTGTTCCATTATTGTGAAATTTTATTCTATTATGAAAAGATTTCTTTATTTAAAAAAATAATTCTATAGTTAAAAAAAGTATGGTATATTTTTATTAAGTCCATTTCTAATAAGAAAAGTTCAACTTCTTAAACGAATGAAGATGGTTACTATCCAAGAAAGAACAGAAGAACATTTATGGAAAATGTTACACTATTTATTTACATATAATGAAAGTAACCTAAACCCACAATCCTTTTCTATTTTGTCTTTCGAAATATTTTATTCGTCCAAAAAATTCAATGTAGGCAATGTCATTAGATGTTGAGAAAACATCAATACTATAATCACTATAACAAACACCAATATCAAAGTAAAACTTGATTACTATTATGTGACAAAAGTGAAACTTGATTACTATTTAGAGAACTTTTTTTTTATTAAACAATGGAATAAAAACCTAGAAAATTTCACAATAATGGAACAAAATGAAAATTAACCGGTTAAAGTGTCATCAAAGCTCATCACGTATGACATACTAGAAATAATTCAAAAAATAGAAAATGATCAACAAAGTATGAGCAAATTGTAATATCAAGAAAGGTGAATACTCACAAAACCCATTTCATAACCTACGACCGTAAGGAATGGAGCCATCACTATCCAATAAACAGAATCTGTCAGCATCACCGCCCCAGCAATCATCTATGTGTAACAAACAAGTAAATTATAACCAACTCATCTATGTACTGTGTGTACTGTATACTGTGTACAATATAAAGTAGTCAAGGTTGATATACCTGGAACATGATTTGAAATACGTAGCCCCAAAATGAAGCAGTCATCGAAAAATGACTTTTTCCTTGCTGACTCTTTGTATTCTCCTCATGGGTGAGAGGCAAAAGAAATTCTTGCTCCTCACCCACATCATATCTTTTATGTTGCCTCAAACATCCGTAAGCCGAGAGCACTGATCCAAACTACAAGCAAACTTCAAGACATATATAAGAACAAGTGTATCCAAAGTCAATAAATAAAACAAGGGTTAGTGACTTATTTATGCAACAAAGGTACACATTTTAACCAAAATATGCAACAACGTGGATTTCTTACGAATTTATACAGCTATGTTTCAGCATTTTACCATAAATTTACCAATTTATTTGGTAACAAACTAAACATGTCTGTATAATTGGTAAGATATCCAATTCGTTGCTTGAATCGGTAAATATATGCAACTTTGTTGCAAAAATAAGTCATTAGATCTAAAAAAATACAACGGAAATTTGTCATATAATTTCAAGTGCAACTTTGTTGCATTGATAAATGCATTAGAAAAATGAAAACTTGGATAAAGAAAAGGTACATACCGCAAAATAAAAGGTAACCAAAGACAAAGTCCACCTATACAAAATCATAAATGTGAAATCAGAAGAATCTCAATAATCAATCCAGTGTGAGAGTTTCAATTCCAATGTGAATTGAGCTGCATATGGAACACTCAACCACCAAACAGTATGGACCAGCTTAGAGGTTGCTAGAATAATTTTTTTTTTTTTTTTTTTTGAAAAAAGTTAATTGCAATGTTATCAAGAAAGATAGAAAAGAGCTTACTGAGTATAATAGAAAAATAAATCAGTCCCATGAATGGCAACATCAGAGGTTCCAGCTGCTAGAAGCAAACAAAAGGAAATGATTCGGAAAGTCAATAACCATGCAGGATGTATTCCCTTTATACATGGCATCCATGCTTCAGAATCATAATTAAACCACACCCTTTCTTGCTGTTTCACCTCTTTATAATTATCTGTATTAGTTGACCCTTCGTATTTCCAAATTAGATATGATGCTATAACCATGGAAGTAAAGACCCATATTGCACACAATAAGAACTTCCATGTCAACCAGTAACTCAGATTAGTTGTATCATTAGTCAAAGTAAGCTCCATCCTGTAAAAAACAAATGAAGATACATTCTAATTACTCATAATCATCTGTTTCTAAAGTAACCCTCAACAGATGATTGAAAGTTGTTTTAGAAAAAAACAAGAACTCAAACTATAAACACGAAATATGGAACATGATCGAAGATAAACAGCATTGCATACAAAAAGGAAACAGTAGATAAACAAACTTAGATGAAATTAAGTGAAAGTAGTTTGAGAAACTTACAGAGGAATTAAAAGAACAGATGGAGGACAGTTTTTGCTTTGTATCGATCAAGAAATTAACATAATATGAAGGGATTGTTATTTGTTAATATGATAAGTAGGTGATAAAAAATTTGAAAGTAAAGTTAGTTTTTTCTTCATCCCCTCTCTCTGACAACGATAGGCGCCCAACCAGAATCTTCCGACGGAGGGAAAAGTAATGCCGTGTCTGAATGGGCCTCTCATCTCATGAGTCATGAAATCTTTTTTATAAATTGACCACGTTTATCAATGTGTTTGGTTGATTCCCCTTCCCATGGTCAATTAGTCAAATATGGGGAGAAAATGAATTATGTAACCATCCTATTCAATACTTTCTATTTAGTCCTCCTATTTTTTTATATTTAATTTCTCTTAAATTTGAGTAAAAAATTCATATAGTATCATTGTATTATTGGTATCGACATCTTGAACCTCAATAGGGCATCTATAATTTATATTGATATCTTGAACCTCATTAGGGCATAATATATTGATTTCCTCCAACATATTGATGTGTTAGTTAGACCCACTGCTAAAGTATTTACGTTTTACAATTACATAAGTTTGTTTCCCAAACTATATAATAAAAAATTGAACATACCATACTATCTTGTATTGTAGTGTTTTTCTATACTAATGGTCCATGTGGTTTGTATTTTCTCCGGTAAAAAAGTCCAAGCCTTTAAAAATAGGATAAAATGTGATTTTAAGAAGGTTTGCTTTCAGTTTTTATCATTCGGAAAATTAAAAAGACTAAATTGCCCTTCTGATACAATTTTTTTTTATGTTTTTTCTATTTAAATTAAAGTTTTATTAATAATAAATATGAGACCCCCACCCTCTTTCTCTCTCTCTCTCACACACCACCAAAAACATCATCCACTCCATCATCTTCTTCCGTGTCGCTTCCCTCCATTGACGAACAAAATAAAACCACCCTTTTAATCCCTATTTCATATCTTACTCTAGGACATATAATTTGCTCTTTTCAAACAAACCATACCATTTCTTAATAACCTATCTCATAAACAATCTCCAACAAAACAAGTTCAAGAAATAGTATGGTAGCCTCAACAACGCCTGTGTGTGTCGTCTCCGATGACCGAGGAAGCCATTGTTCAAGATCCACCCCCGTTGCCTGTAACGTCCCATTGTCACAACCAATTTTTTTTCAAAAACTTTATTAAAGTAAGGCTTCCTAATTATAAATCCATTATGAAGAAAATCGTTTATTCCAAATACATTTATTGAAAATCAGAATAATATTAAAGCGCAAAATCTTCAGTGCCGCTGATGAATATGTACAGTCACGCCTTCGTCTTCCCATAATGACCAATGATACCCGAAACAATAAACAATTAGGTAAGCACAAAGCTAAGTGAGTTTCCCCCCAAAATACCCCATACGATAAACATACAAGCATGCATAACAGCCCACAATTATCAGATTGGAATTCGCAGGCCCAATCAGTCCATAGTCTGGAACGCTGACATGTAACGGGTCCAATCAGCCATCGGGCTGGACTACCTAGGTTTTGTTGGCTTACTGCCGCAACCCAACTGCTCTTCCCGAGCCTCATTGCCTACGGCTTACAACCAGCCTGCACCAAGTATCTTGGCCTACATCACAAAGAAGGACTGCCTCAACCCACTACCACCATATGTCGGCATGTAAACAATCAATGACCAAGTAGGCACAAAATACATGCAAACATCAATCATACGTATCACTATCACATACTAGTCCTCTCTCAGCACACTGTCCCGCTACCTGCTATCCTCCATGAAATGCGTAACCGTAAGTTACCAGTGGCGAGATAGCCACCCGAATAGATGATCCTACTCTAGAGCCACAACCAAACAAGGAACAGACAAGAAAGCCTAGATCAAGAGTTCTCAGGCTATCCTACGTGACTACATACAGTCACTAGGGCACTCCACTAGATGATAACCAACAAGTACTGGTAGAAATACAAATCTACATATCACTACCACATAACAACATCCTATATACCATAATACAGATCTAACAGATCACTACAATATAGCAACATCCTATATAACAGGATATAGATCTAACAAACCACTACAGCATAACAACAAAATACAAACAATCCAAGGAATTCATAATAGTATATATACTTAGAGGTGAGATAGACACCCGGACAAGTGATCCTACTCTAGAGCCACAACCAAACAAGGAACATGCAAGAAAGCCTTAATCAAGAGTCCTGAGTCTATCCTACATGACTATATACAGTCCCTATGGCATCCCACTACTAAAAGATAACCAAAACTAGTGGTTTGGCATTGGTTCCTTCGACCAATGAGTCCAATGAGGTAAAATGTAACGTCCTAAAAATTAAGGCCAAAAATTTCATTTTTATCATATTAAAACCATTATCCAAAATATGTTCATAAAACCATAAAAGAAAATCAAAGTATGTCAATAATCATCCAAATACATCAAACATGAAAAAATACGGAACAATACGGTGTATGCAATGCGATCATCCCGAGTCATACCCCTTCGATCCGGAAGTACCTGAAACATAAACTGAAAACCGTAAGCACAAAGCTTAATGAGTTCCCTAAAATACCACATACCATACATATCATGAACACATGCATACGTCGGGCCCCGCCCGGTACATTCATCAGGCCTCGCCTAGACTCGGGCCCCTCCCGACATACATACAGACACATAAAATACATGCAAGAATCATTAAGACAAATAGCATACAATACACTCATCGGGTCCCGCCCAATATACATATTACTTACTACACATGCAAGAGTCACACAGAAACTAGCATCCTAACCATAACAAATCATGGGCCGACATTAATACCTTCAACCCGATAAACACTATGAGGAGACTCACCTCAAACTGATGAATAAATCAGATAAAAGCTCGGGCTGTTGATCCAGGAAATCTCCACACTAAACATCATAAAATAAAACCTAATTAATAATTGGGCCTTAAACCATAAATAGGAATCTATCTCATTTGTCCAGCTTCTAGGGTAAAAGACCATTTTACCCTTTCCTCACTTGACCCAATAACCGAGGCCCAAACTGTTGGATAAGGTGTCTAAGTCCATAACTCTATTTGGTATATACTTGACCCGACCCGACATGGTCCATTTGGGTTACACTTCACCCGAACTATTTGTATGGTTAAACCTTTGAGAATTGTATGTTTATGATTTATTAATATATTATAAGTTATAATATATTAATATGAAATCATATTATTTAATTAGTATTTGATCGTAAATTAATTTAGAATTAATTTGGTGATAAAAAAATGTGACTAATTAAATATGGGCTCTTGTATTTATATAAGTGTGGGCTAATACTCATTTGGAATGGGCTTGGCATGCATGGGAGTCTATGGATAGTCCATGGAGCTTTTAACCCATGGATCCTTGGAAAGGAAGAGTCATGGGTATTAGGGTTTACATGGATGTAACCCTAATTCCTCACACTATATATAAAGGAGCTTATGATGCTTGAAATGGCACTAGTGGTGTGTGTGTAAGAAGGTGGCCGATTTCTACAAGCAAACATACACTCTCATAGGGTTTTCCAAGTTTGTGGTGATTTTGTGATTTCCATTTGAGGCATCCACATTATTGGTGCTTGGCCCTCAAATTCCAAGGAATCTCACTATTGAAAGGTATGTAATTCTTCTAGCTTTTATGTTTAAAGTTCCCCATGCCATGCTAGATAGGTTATGAACCTTGGAAAAACAAATTTGCATGTATTCATAGTAAAACATAGATCCAAGGTTGTTGCCTATAAAATGGAAGCTTAATGGGTGTCCACTCTCACCCATCGCTTCCTTGACTGGTGGAGGGTTGTTAGCCGAACGGGTAGGACAATGACTTTAATTCTCATTAAAAGTATAATGATTATTATAAAGTAACTAAATGTTTTTATAAATTCCAAATCTTAGTTACTTTAGGAAAATGTGAAAATGGCGCTAACCCATGAAATTCACACTTTGTACCTTACCAAGTCGTTGGTGGAGCGTGTGTGGTTAATCGACACACTAACTTGGACTAGTAAGGATAACAAAGGGTGACTTAATGTTTATCATAGATCGGTGGAGCGCGTGTGGTTAACCGGCACATTGATTAGGTGATAATATTAAGGGTACCAAGTGAATCTGCATGGTTATTCACACCTTGTTTTGTGATCCTCGGCATCCCAGTCACAAAACTTGGAGGGCACAATCGAGATTGAAACATGCCATTGAAAAGTTCAATGAATCTCAAAAGAATCTAGGAATTTCAAAACCAATTAAAACCTAATAATTTATTTCATTTTCATCGTGGAAATTGGTGAATCGTCATTCACCTACCTTCAAATATGTTATAGCTTAGATTACGACATCCATATTCTAAGTTATAATATATTGTGTTGGGTCCTAGCCTTAATATTACATTTGGGTGTCTTATTAAGGACTCTATATATCTAATCTAAACTTGTCTTTCTTCTTTTCAGATGTCTTCCAACAACGCTTCGGGTTCTAACCCTACCGACTCCTTCTCTCTCGTGAACCTTTGTGGGAGAGTCTCTTCGATGGTTCCAACTTTATGGATTAGATCCGGAACATCAGGATGGTCACTCGTTACGAGGACAAGGAATATATCCTTGACAAGGAGCTCAAGGAACTCGATGAGACTACTGCTACTCCTGAGGATATCGTTGAATATAGGACACATGAGAGAGATGCCACCAAAGTGGCATGCATCATGATGGCCACGATGACAGCCGAGCTCCAAAAGTCCTATGAGGACTATTACCCTTTTGAGATGCACTAGGGCTTGATGGAAAAGTACCATCAGAGTGCTCGTCAAGAGCGGTATGAACTAATCTCCTCCATGATAACAACCCGCATGAAGGATGGTGAACCCATCACGGGCCACATGTAGAAAATGCAAAGGTATGTGGACCGTTTGCTGAAACTGAATGTGAACTTCCCAGAGGAGTTGGCAATTGATATCATTTTGCACTCCCTACCCTCGTGTTATGATCAATTCTGCATTACATACCACATGAACAAGGAGGAAGTTACACTTAGCAAGCTTCAAGGACTTCTGAAGACCGCAGAAAGTGGTCTTAAAGGTAAGTCGGTTGTTACTCCTACTCCTACAGCAACCCCTGTTTTGGCTATCGGGTAAGGCAAAGGGAAGAAGAGGAAGCACCCTTCGAAGGGTACCAAGGGAAAGTCTCTTGATGGCTCCTCATCAAGTGGAATCAAAGGTGGTTCTGCTACTCCTTCTGCCATCCCTAAGGATGTTGATTGCTTCTGTTGCCAGAACAAGGGGCACTGGAAGCGAAACTGCCCAAAGTACTTGCAGGATCTCAAGGATAGGAAAGTGAAACCATCCCCTGCAGGTATTTACACTATATTGTCTAATAACTCACCATATTCTAACTCTTGGGTCCTTGATACAGGTTTTGGTATTCACATATGTTCTGATTTGCAGGGCCTAAGAAGAGGTGAGGATGTGGAGCACGGGAAGATAAACTTAATCATGGGGAATAGGAAGGTTTCACTTGTTACCAAGATTGGAGTTTATACTTTGTTGCTAAGTAGTGGGTTAAAGTTAGATTTGAATAAATGTGTTTACTCGTCTGAAATGGCGAGGAATATTATTTATTTTCATGGTTTGTACAAACAAGGGTTTACCTTTACTTTTCATAATGAAGTTGGTGGTATTAATGCTTTCTTTAATAATGTTCTTTATTTTAAAGCATTACCTTGTGATGGTGTGTATGAAACTGTGTCGGTTGTAGATAACCTAGGAAATAATGTGTTTTGTATTGATTCCTCTACTAGCTTGGATAAAGCATCATTGTGGCATTGTCGTCTTGGACATGTAAGCAAGAAACGCATAGGCCA